CTAACAAGCCATGTGCTGGAGATGGCAGTGTCTTGAAACTGAGAGAACCTGGGATACTGAGTCCCATGAAAAGCCACCCACTGTCTGGAACTCTGGGCTTAGGGCAGGTGTTAACCTAACTCAGACAGGGGAGGAGTGGAAGAAACTATATTGTGTTTGAATATCCCTGGATGGTTCTGACATACCTCCTCTTTCGGTTCTCCCTAGCACTGACTCAAGTAGTGGAACTACCCCTGGTTTACAAGGGTTCGCAAGGTTCAGAGCTGGAGAGGGGAACCATATGCCACTGTCTAGCCAAGTTCATCTTCAAATACAGCTCTCTTGATTTCAGACACCCTTTTTTTCCCTGTTATGTTACAATGAATGCTAAAGATTTCTTCTTGAACTGGACATGTTAGCGCTGATCTAAATTTAAGTAGTTCTGAATAGTTCAGAAATCTAAATCTCTGAACTATAACACAGATTATAAAAGTATAACATAAAAGGCAATCCTCCCTTCAAGGGTGCCATTCCATTTGTCTCTTCATGCCCAGCCAAGACTCAGCTCAACAAGGGACAGCATACAGACTTGCAAAGGTTTACAAATAAGTCTTACCAAAAAAAACAAAATTCAAGCACACATCACATGGCAATTAAAGACCCACACATGAGATTTTGTGTAAACCTTTCACATGTAGATGAACCAGAATAAGACTATAATTCCATCAAGTGTAATTTATTTAAATAATAATTCAATTGAATATTGTAGGTAAGCCAGCAATAGCAATATGAAAATATATTATTCTGAGAATATCTGGCAACTTAAACACGTATTTGCTAATGCAGAGTATTCTGTAATGTTACTGGAAAATAAACATGTTGACGTTCACGTGTGAAGATTTATTTGCACTTAAAAATACAATTTCTAAGATGATCTCAGGTTTTAAAAATGCCTTCATGGTAAAAACAGGATACAAGAACTGCAGTCTTCATGTTGAAAAATAAGATTTCCTATCAGCATTAATTACAATTAATAGATGATAACTAACACAAAATCTGCCAGTGAATAGTCATTGGGAACGGTTTTTCTATTAAAAGTATCAGAAGTTCACAGTTTTCTTGTCAACATGTATTGATAAAATGCTTTCATAGTTACAACTGATTTCATTTTCTGGTACGAGATCCAATGCTTATTTGATCAGCAGATGGATGCTACAAACACATATATTTTATAAAGAAGATCTTACATTCATCACATATCTTCAATCTCTAAAAATATTTTGCTCTATAAAACTGTGATGATTGGGAGTGGGAAAGATAGTAGGTTAAATTCAAATGCAACAAGATGAGAAAGAAAATGTTAATTTTTACTAATAAAACATTGAATTATAAGGTACAAACACGTTTTGATGATTCAATAGGAAATCATTCAATGATTTATGAAATGCTATGGTCTCCAATTTGACTTTTGTTTAATTCAAATAAAGAAAGCTGGAAAATACACAGTATCAAAGAAACCCAAACTCCCTCCACATTTCAAGGAAATGTTACAAGTTTTTAGGTGACCAGATCACAAAACATGTTTATTTTGTTTGTGTGTTTTAAGGCAACACAAAACTTCACAAGAACCTACAAAATAAGCTTGCTTTAGAAATAAATTTCAGTAATAAAATAATACTCTTATTTATTAAATATAGTTTGCCTTTAGACAGGATTTACCAACTTGTGTCCAAAAATTTAAGAGTTCTAAGAACATTTGCAAATAAATATTTTAAAACACTAGTATATAAATGAGCCAGCTGGTATTCATTCAGGTGTTTGGATAGCAACAGTTAGCAATAGGGAAAAATAATAAATTATTTAGTTATAAATTCTCCCCTGACACATGAGAATGTACATATTGTTGAGATTAAGTAATTTTCCTAGGTAGCACAAACCAATGAAACACATGTGTTCTCCTTCTGAAAAAAAATCTCAGTTAAACAGAACCCTATGGTACCGCTTTTCTTCATTAAGCCTTACATCAATAGCCTAAGATTTTATGTTTGCCATAATCTCTCTTTTCATGTCATTATTTCCTTAAGGAAAAAATAAGTCACTGTATAGAAAGAAATTATCTACTATGATGAATAAAATCACTTCAGGAAAAAGTAGATTAATGAAAATTGTTTAAACTTATTTTCTATACCCAAAATTGCCACCTGGATCCTTGACTCCATTTAAAAAAAAGAATGTATTTCAATATGTCATGATTTTCAAAGCAGGAATATCATCCCTTCAAATGGAGGAAGACTTTCCAGCACTTCAAAATAATGTAATTCCTTTAAACTGAAATGATAAACAACTTTCTTTAACGTGTCTCATTATATCCGATCCTCTGGCTACCAGTTACGTTATACTGCGACTACCCTTCCTGAGGGCCCTAAATAGTCTACAATAATTAAAACTTATTTACTAGAAAGTATTTAAGTAGCACTAAAACAAAAGCTCCCCATGGATATGCCAGCATTCCTTACATTCATCATTGAAATTATGTGTTTCTATGAGTTACTGGATTCACATACAACATGTATTATATATTAATGTGCAATATGTTTTACTTAATAAAGGTCAGTATTAAAGTACCTTGAGTTTTTCTATTGAATAGCCAACCTGTAGACATCTGTAGGCGTTTTGATTAGCTAAACACAGTGAGGTGGCTGCTTAGATTCTTCCATGCAAAGGTGTTACAGATGGCAGTGCTGCCTCACCTGTAAGCTGGACAGATGGGGATCAGAGTTTCTCCAAAGCTAGAACCACATGTCTCTCTGAATGGTTCAGGTCAAGAACCTGCCCGGCTTTCTCAATCTGCTAAATCGTCCCTGCACGCATCCTTTCTGTAGTTGGAGAGTCATAAACTGCTGGAATGAATTTCAACACTGGCAAGGTTGGACAACAACTGCTGAACACAGAAGACATTTTCCCCTCATGGGAAAATGTTGATATGTCCTTTTCATTACACTTCAAGTTCAATATTCTAAAGTAAGTAAATCTACGAGCTAAAAGACAAAATTACCACAATGGGAAACAAGGATTCAGCAGCAAGCAACCTGACACATAAAGAAAAAAATGTAAATAATTGATCGGAGGGTAGAGAAATATCCTGGGGAAGATCTGAATGCCTTCTGAAAAATAGTACAAAGGATTGTCTACTTAGTATTTGTAACCGGCTTTCTGAACAAGAAATGTCTGAAGAGATTAAAATATATCAGTTTTATGTGTGCACAACACACAGGTATCATACACATTTAAAATGTTACTAGCAAGCAGCAAAAGGCATAAGCCATATGCCAACCAATTCTCTAAGCGGGTAACTACTCTCAAAACTTTTAAATAGCAATATTGGTCTAGCTGAATCAATTATGAAACACTGATGATATAAAAGAATTGAAGAGAGCACTGTATTTTTCAAAATAATGTTAACCTTAGAAAATATTACTTTAACCATAAAATGTACTAACATCTCAAAATTAAGCATCACTTCTTCTATAACTCTAACAGCCTGTGCTGTTGGTTTTGAAAAAGTGAAGAATGTCTATAAAATCAGAGTAAAATAATAAAGATAAAGTCTTTCAGTTTAATAAATCAGCATCTCAGGGTGGGAGGAAATACATTCACCCATGCCAGTGACTTCTTATCAGCTGCAGAATAAACATGATAAAATACAGGTTTTTGGACACTTAAACCAAGAAAGAAGCAACCATCATAGATAGAGATTTGAACTATAATTGGCAATGCAACGATGGTGATCATAGGTGTACTAGGAAAGCCGACTCCGGAAGCACCACAGAAACAGGCCTTTTCATAGAGCCTTAGCCTGGGTGTTTAGTCCCAACACGGGCGTCATTCCCACATGCAGCACTAATCATGATTCAGGTGCTTTAGCCACATGTGGAGAGTGGCTACCGTGCCGGGCAGAGCAGGACTAAAGGGAAGAACATTATCTAGAACTTGGAGAGAACATGATTCATTTCTCCAGACTTATTCCAAGAGACAAAAGACAACATCTAACAGCCTCAAAGTCATCACTGAAGGCTTTCTTAGCTAAATGGGTTTTACTTTATGATGAATAAATATGAAACCATTAACTAGTAGGGAAAAATAGTGAAGAATTACAGTAATTCTAGATATCTTTCTAAAAGTTGGTCACAAATACCTTTGTTTAATTAATGCTTTTTAATGGTTAAAAAAGAATAACATCTCCCTTCAAAAAGCAACAGACTTACTTTAAAGGCATGATGAGAATGGAATCATAACAAATATTGACAGCAGGTGATCAGTGCCTATCACGATGTATCTAAGTCTCAAAGTAGCTTCAACAGGAAGCACTTTTCTTGGAATTAGGAGAGGTTTCCTCTTTACATATATCTTACTGATCTGAAGCCCTGGTCAAAGAGTCAGAGTGACCTTAAAGTTTCAAGTTTCCATGCCAGATAGGAATTCCATAATCACACACACACACACACACACACACACACACACACACATGCACACACACACAGAGGTTATACAGTTGGATGTTTCAATGTTTCTTTGAGCCTGATGAATCTGGAATTCACCGTTCTACAACTCCTACCACTTTTCTTATTTCTATCTTCTGCAAAGGCAGATAATCAATAAACTTTCTTAAATGAGACCTTGTATCCGGGAGAAGCCCAGAAAACATTAAAATGCATTTACAGGGCCCTCCCTGGTGGCGCAACGTTTTAAAGCACTGCACTAAGAAGCTAAGGCCACCTCTGCATGA